AGATAATCAGCGGGTACTCACGCGGCATATGTGCCTCGTTGATTTTCACTAATTATCTCAATGTTTAACTCAAGTCTGGGGAAGTTTAGCGGGAAGGGAATGGGTCCCGTTAAATAATTAACCTATTTGTATCATTGGAATATTTAAAATTACGCGTACATCACTAACTTTTTCTTCAGATCGACGTCAAATGTAATGAAACTGATCAAAAACACATGATCTTTATATAATTCCATCCATCTTCAATAAGAGAAATTCATAAAAAATCAGACCATGTGCAGATGAACGGATGCATCCGCTTCTGATACAAATGATTAACTTGTTGATTTCCACGCTTGATTTCCATTAATCATCCCAACGTTCAAGTCAAGTTTGAATCACCCAAGATACGGCAAATAAATGCAATTCGCGATGACAGACCCGTTAGTACGTTTCGCTGATCTTCAATCGGCTATACATTTGATTTACACGCAGTTGAATTACGTTAAATCAGTGAGACGCGGCAATATTATAGCACCGATTCCTGGTAATCGGCACGGCATTCAACGTGTTAATCGATCCGAGTCGCCCTACGGCCGAGAATCTTTCTACCTCTTCCTGGTTCCGTACAAACAATGCGCGTTTTCTGAGGTTTTTCCGGCCGAGCGGGGCGAACAGCAACGGGCGAGTGGCTTGCATGCATCGAGCGCATCCGAGCGCGCAATTTTTCCGAGAGAAGAAACGTAACGCGAGAAGGCGAAAGTTGCCGTCACGACGAAAGGGTTGCGTCTGCGTTATCCAAACCGGTTGGCACGACGCGATTTCGCAATCAACGGGAAGGGCCCTTCCGGCCCTTACGGAGTACCTTCTTCGGCCGATCGTATCTTATCCGGCTCGACTCGTAAAACGTGCGAAACCGTTGGCGGCGGAGGTCGGGGAGAGGGGAATCACGGACGGGAATCACGATGCGTGTCGCGGCGTGATGTATGCGTTACGCAGGTGTGCAAATGCAGGCGGCAATGAGGTATCTTTCGCGCGCACCTCCCGAGGGTGAGTGTATAATGGTGTCGTTCTTATGTGAGTGACTGCTTAATCGCGCCTACCGTAATAAAGCTTCTCCGCCAGGGACGCGCGCAGGTAGAATTCAATCGTCCGCGAGCGAGTGAGCGAAGACGCGCCACCAACTCGACAAAGCAAACCGGTATCTTAATTCCGCGCGGTGAATCGTCACGCCGATTTTTGCGAGATCCATTCTGCACCTTGCTGCGTGACGACTTGCGTGTCTTGGAGGTCCGCTTGGCGGACGACTTGCACTCTTGGAGGCTCCCGGAGTGGAACTTCGCTCGAAAGGTAGCGGGACTACTCGGTCACTCGAATTCGAACGATGTTTCACTCATATAGAGTGAATTCTCCACTCTGGATCGTCGAGTGGACGTCTTCAATCGAAATTGAAGACTGAGTCTGGTATGATCCCAGAGGAACGTATTCGTTCTAATTGATTGAGACATTTGCTCTTATGGAATCAGAATTCACTCTAAGCTCTTGAGTGACAGTGCTTTCATTATTTCCACTTTAAGTGGAAATGCCATTTTTCCCTTTTGCGTAAGATTTTACTTCAAGAAATTTAGATAGTGTACTTTCTGAAATAAAATTTCTCTTGAAAAGCAAAGTGATAACCGAATCACTCGAAATCGAGTGATTTCTCACTCCTGTGGAGTGAATTCTCAACCCTGAAAACATTCACTCGTTGAGTGAATGTTTTCACTTGAAACCTTCACAGGAACAATTCCACTTTGATCAAAGGAAACATTCACTCATACAATGCATTTTAGACTTTAGACTTTAGACATTTTAGAGTGAAATATTTACGACTTCAAGAGGCAATAATTTCACTACTGTTTCGAATGAGATTTTTCACTCCAAGAAATTTAGAGAATACTCCCTAATATTCTTGGAGTAAAATTTCACTTGAAAAGTAGTGTGGCCACCGAGTCATTCGAATTCGAGCGATGCTTCACTCACACAGAGTGAATTCTCCACTCTGAATCGTCGAGTGAGTGTTTTCACTTGGAATTGAAGAGTGAATCTGATATATTATATTTTCCCAGTAGCATATTCACATGAATCAATAGAGATATTCACATACACATGGAATCAGAACCATTCTAAGCTTGAGCAAAACATTCACTCTTGCGATTTCGAGTGGCAGTATTCTCATTATCGCTTCGAGAGAAAATACTGTTACTTTTTATTAATTTTGAATGAGATTCTATTCTAAGATTTAAATTAAAAACTTAAATTTGCAACAATGTGTCAAGCAGAATTTCGTCTCCGAGAAAAATTTTAAGACCAACCCAGATAGCACAAGATGTTCTAAAGTCTGCCAAAATATTCCCAAAATGCCCTGAAGGAGTCCTGGAACGTCCTGAATACTTCCAAGAGGATGTCAGGATTGTGCTATCTGGGGGTATTCATGATTATCCTAAGTTCATCTTCTCTGTAGCCAATAAAACGAGCTGTGCAGTATCTAAAGATGAACTTAAGACAAACTTAAATACAAAACTATGAAGAATGTTCTCGACGAGTTGGGTATGCGTATGTTATAATCCTCGAGTATTCTCCGGGTTACATAGCGAGTAAAATCAAGGATGGGACGCTACGGCGAATAATTCCGCGGCGGGGAGCGTCGATTCGTGTCCGAAGTGCAAGAGGGCGATTGTTCTGGCGCGAACAAAGGAAATTTGTTGGAAGACTAGCAGCATCGGCTGTTTAGCGCGACCTTTTCGTTTCACACGCGAGTCAAGTCGTCGTTGCGGTGAGGGAAGAGCGAGCGAGGGAGAAAGGGACGGGAAAGGGATGATAATTTTCTCTCTCGTACCAGCATACACGGCTCTTTGCAGTGTGGGATCGAAAAAGCAGGATGATGACGTCAGACACGAACCCGCTCCGGTCACTGGCAGTCGGACGAGCGCGCACGAACACGCGCGCGTGCATTCGGATAGGTCCCACAAAGGCCCCCGGTCCCTCCGACTGATAATAATTACGGGAGGGGCTGAAGCGGACTTCCGCTCCACACATTCGATCTGGCCGCTACGGCCACTCGGCCCAGCCGCGAGCGAAAAACCACCTACGGATATTTCAGGAACGCTCGATCTCTCCGCGGCTTCACCTTGCCGGCTCTCGACGTTTGTCGCGCCGCGACTCGTGGATTTTTGCGCAACGAGAATCGCGAGAAGCCGTGAATGCCGAACCTACGACATCCGAAATGCGGACAGTCCGAAAACAAAAACACTGGCTAGAACACTCGGCGTCTTCTAGCCTGGACGAAATATTAGAAATTACGACCGACACCTGCGAGACTCTCCTCGGTTCTCCACGCGTTCTCGCGCTACAATCAACTTCATTCGCGTAACGATCGTGGCAGGTTCCGAGAAATTGTTGCGAATATCTCGCCGAGCAACTTTTTGAGAAACTGTTTGTGTGAGAAAAGTGTGGCAGTTCTTTTAGTAGATCTCTTGGTGAGAGAAGAACGCAGCAGAGATAGTAATAATTAAATTGCAAGTAATAATTGGGAATTAGTAACGCAGGAAGCACACGTGGCTGATTACTTCGCGATGAAACGATGAATTAAACGAGTGAGGAAGTATGACTGTGAGATAATTACTTATTTTGCACGGGCCAAAGTCTTGGCGCTGGATAGTCCGTGGACTTCTAGAATCCACAGTAGGCCCAGAATAGATGGCCCACTCACAGCGCAAATATATGGTGGCCGGATGGTGCGACACAGGTCGTGGCATTTATCCCGACACTTCTAGGCGAGATCAGGTTGCTCTGATCATGCATGATTATTCGCGAACAGCGATGTAGGGAACACCGCATGGGCGGTGGAGAAACGAAAAAAAAAAAAGATAAGTTACTGGATTCCGACGCGCTTTCCCGCGGTTTCGAGTGATTAGCTATCCCCTCATCTGCGACAGCAGATGGGGGGCGGTTAACAACAAAATAAGGAAAAGCGAGCCACATGTTCTGTTACTTTCAGCACAAATAGTCGCAAACGAGAACGAATTCTCCGGCCTCGGCGTTTCCAGCTGTAAAACGCCATAGTAAAAGAACACCTGGTCGCTGCCCCTATCCTCTCGCTTGCTAGTCGAGATCGGAAGCAGAACCTTTCCGACAATAATTCGGCATCTCGCAGTCCGCGATTGTTTCGCAATCTGTCTCTTGGTCTTCCTCGCTTCCAGCTGTTCCTCACTTTCAGCTGCTTTCGAGCGGATTCCGGAGTTTAGCATCTGGACTATCCGGACTATCCAGATAATCTCGATGTCAAACTATATAATTTTTCCTTTTTTTATTTATCTCTTTTTTAATCTAAAATCTATGTCCAGGCACCTCGATTCTATTCGAGTAAAATTTGTTTCTTCGCGAAATAATTTCGAAAAAAATCTTTCTGATGAAGAGTTTCACGATTTGAATAAAAGAGCGTCAAGAAGCATGTTCTGAATGTATATAATCATGTACATTGGACAACTACGATCATTGATCGCCCAGATGCCATTATATGGAGTTGTTCGACAAATTTGAGTATGGATTTTTACGTAACATTCCAATAATTTTATAGTTCGGCATAACTTCACCCACTATTGGCCGTTTTTTCAATGGTAGCAGGGAAAAAACGAGAAAGTAAAGTAATACCTAACTACAAGAATATCGGCTTTAAATTCTTCGTAAAAATTCTCACGAATTTCTCGAACAAGCCATTACTTTATCCTGGATGTTTGTGGAAAATATACGACACGGTGGTGTCATCGGTTCCCTCAATTTTCATAATGCGACGCAACCCTCCCCGAGACTCACTGAGGGGATTGGAATCGGCGCGTTTAGATCCCCGAGAGACGAATCGCGTCGAACGAGAATAAGAAGCAGATCGGCGCGTGCATCCTTCCGCGCCGGGAACGTTTGGCGGAAAGATGCATCGAGGATGAATATGCAGTAATAGCCGGCGAGGCATAAAATAAACTCACCTTTCGAAGTTTCTCCAATTCATTCGCGTCCGAAGTCGACTGCGCCGCCTGTCAAGAATAGAAAGTATCAAATTATTTGACAGCTGCACTGCGTGTGTGTTTCTATGTGTATATATATGTGTGTGTGTGTGTGTGTGTGTGTGTGTGTGTGTGCGCGCATCGCGCCGAGAGCGCGTCAATCTTCAACGAGAGCGCCGCGGTGTATCCCTTTTATTTTTCTCTCTCAAGAGAGAGAGAGACGCGGGAACGTGCGGGCGCGTGTTACATCTTTCGACATTTAACGGGTCCAGCACAATGGCAGCTGTTATCCGGCAGAACTCCGTTTATTGTATTTAAATCGCGTTGCAAAATTCGCACCCGTCCGTCCGTCCGTGCGCTCCGAGCTCCAACGCGCTCCAAGGATTTCATCGCGCTTCGCCTCCAATTTCGTAATTAGTCGCGAAACGAGAACGCGCGCGCGCGAGCGTGAGCGTTCAAGTGCACCGCTATTATCGTTGTTTCGATGGTTCCCCACGATTCGTTGTGATCCAAGTCGCGATTACTTAACTTCGCTCCCCGATCGTTTCTCGAATAACAACGATAGTTCGGCGATCTCGTGCACGCGGGATTAACTCCGCGAACTCGAACGCCCGGGATGTCCCGAAACTGCGCAGCGTTTCCACGTGCACTACGTTGGTGCGAAAGGTTCACTTTTCTCTTAAATTCTCGTAGGAAGTTTGGACATTAAGTGGAAAATAAGAAATCTTGATTAAACATCTATGAAAATATAAAGTCATTCTTTTTTGTTTATTTTACTCGTGAAAATTGGTGAGCTTTTAATACCAATGCTTCAACGCATACCTAAGGATGTTGTATGCTTTGGTCTTTAAACGTAAATATTTAAACTTTTAACATAGAATATACATATATTGACTATACACACAGAAAAATGCATACTCCGTTCAAGCAAGTGTTTACTTGTTTCAAGTATATTTCACAAATTTATGTATTCAGCATTAATTTATCACACGTTTTCATCATAGTATTAAATTTGTTCAAAATATATTTTGTGTCCTAGTAAGTTTAGCAATCAAAAATATTAAGTCGAAACAAAAATTCGGTTTGGTTCTTATATAGAATCAATCAATTTTTTCTTTGATAATTTTATAATATTCTTGTAAAGAGAATCAAAATTCTTCTTTTGAGTATATGATAATAAACTTTTCTAAGACTTGTGATGATTATATTCCTAGATTATAATCAAGAGAGAGAAGACATTTTTTGCTAAAGATAAGAATAGATAACCATTACTTAGGCCCATATTAATAGTTGTCTCATGAAACTTATCTCGTGTGAAATACTCAAATTTTATTCAGAATTAGATCCAAGCTTTTTGGTTGAATTATGATAATTATGACATTCTATAATCGTGATTTAATTAAAAAATTTTCATCTAACTCTAAATTCTAATCTGAGTATTTCATTGAAGTGAGTTTCATCCAATAACTAATACGAGCTCTAGATTTTTTTAATCAGAGTTAGATCTAAATTTTTCATTTGAATTATAAGACATATATAACGTATCTATAATTAAAGACTGAAAAAACTCTCATTTAACTCTAAATACGAATTTGTGTATCTCACTTGAGATGAGTTTCAAATATTAACTAATAATAACTATTAATATGTGTCTTAAAAGAAAGGAAGTAAATGGAGTAATTTTTTTTTATCTTAGCTACAAAATTATGTTTTTCTGCGCTTGTGTACATACTTTATGTTGCAAATTTAAATATTCAAATTTGAAGACCAGAAAAATAAAAATATCCAGGATTAGGTAGTGTCTAGACATTGGTACTTTGACTTGAATTCTATGAAATTTAGTAATTGCGTTTCCTAATTTATTTGACAAACATGACGGACTTTTCATCATTGTCCACTATTCTGAACCAACTTAATAAATTTCTCGTCCAGAAGTTACATGCGATTTTAAGAATCTAGACCTAATATATATAGCACAATATCCCTCTTTCTTTCCCTCTGTCTTCATTTAGAACAGTGAATGATGTTTCGCGTGTACATATGGCGCCATGGATGCTCTATCATACCCTAGATCAAGAGTTGCACGATTTTCGGCTTAGATATAACGCTTGAGATGGAAAATCAAAATAAGTAACTCTGGTTACAATGGCGAGATTACAATGGCTTTAATTATAATGATTTCATTATTCATTATTAATTAATATGAAATTATAATTTCATATTCGTGTAAGGGGCAGGAAGTCTTGTAACTCTCAATGTAGAGAATGATGGAAACCGTCCACCTTTGGCGGTTTAGACACAACGAAGTCGCAAATTCACAAAACTGTCAAAATTGAAAGTCATTGCTGACGTGCTTGCCGACTAATTATACTATCAATTATTGTTGGTATCATTATGTATTATTATTTAGCGTTCCCAATTATATTATTGCTGTTTAAGAGCCCATCCATAATGACTGAATTTTGACAGTTCCGTGAGCTCCCAACTTGCTCGCGTCTAGACCGTTTCGCAGACCCGCTGTATACGGTTACCGTTAGCGCGACATTACGCGAGAACGCGCGACGCGAAAGAAAACACTGCAAAACAGCACAAAAGGCGTTCACCTCCTTCAAATCTCGGCGAGAGGCGGCCCGCTCGGCGCCGTTTGCCGGCTTGTCGGTGAAGCTCGCGGCGAGCGAGAAGAAGCGTGCGTTGTTGTTGTTGTTGTTGTTGCCGAGGTCCTCGCTGACGACCGCGACGGCGGCCGCGGCGTCGTGCAGTAACTCGTAATCCAAGGACTTGCAGTCGCGGCAGCCGGCGTTGCCGTTGGTGAAGGTGCGCGCGAACGCGCTCTTGAAGAAGCGACCGGGTGACACCTCGCTGCCGAGGGCGAACTCTACCTTCGGGGTCGTCTCGGTCGTCATCGCGTCACGCCGCGTTAACAAGCGATCAGAACCATACACGACGGGGCCGACGCAATCTGCACTGGACGGAAGGAAGACGGAAGGAGCGGAGAGAGACAAGTGCGCGCTCGTCCGGAGAGATCTCGTCCTGAGAAAGAGAGATAAAGAGAGGAGCCGGCGAAAGGAACGTAGTTGTCACGCGTGAAAAATGGCGCCGCGTGACATCGGTTGCTGACACACGTCGGGAAGAGAGAGAAACCGAACACGACACGATCGACTTCTCCTCTGCTTTTGCTCTTCTGTCCGTTTCTTCTGAGCGAGCACCTGACTCTGCCCTCTCGAACTCGCGGCTGTCTTCAGCTCGCTGTCCGTCGTGCGAACAACTTGCGAACAAACGAAATTCCGAACGGAGCACACGGCACGCCGGTGCGTGTCAAACTGAGCGCCAAAGCCCGCGCGCCGCGCCGTTCATTTCTAGTCGCTCCTTCTCGGCGACGTGTGCGCGTGCGCGACCGAGACTCCCGCGCGATCCGCTTCTCTGTCAAGCAACGCTCGCGGAAACGTGGAAATGCTCCGCTTTTCCCGACGTGATTGGAAGGTCCGATTGATTCAGAGAAATCTGATTGACAGGTAGTAATCCACTCGCGTCAGAAAAGGTGAGGAGTAATGTCTGGAATTTAAGATATAATCTGAAAGTCAAGAGAACGTGGAGAAGTGGCGACTCCACGCGATCATATTCGACAGTCGAATCTTTGGCGCCACCAGTCGCCGCGAGTTGAATGTTAATTGTACCAAAAGATTACGATTTTTCATTTGCCACGTTTAGTTGACAAATAGCAACTTGCTCGCGTCAAAGTAGAAACATCTGAATGAGTTAGGTAAATGCGAGTAAATGGCTGCTCTACGCAATCAAATTCAACGATAATATCTTTAGCGCGAAATATGCGAGTTAAACATTAATTGTTGCGAAAATTATACTGCCACCTTTTACCCGTGAACTCTAATTGACAAATAACAATTTACTCGCGTTGAAAGTGAGGAGTTAGGGAAATATAAGAAAATTGCAGTTTCATGCAATCAAATTCGGTAGTCAAATCTTTGACGTCAAATATGCAAGTCGAATGTTACTTATTGTAAAAATCCTTATATTTCCTGACTCGTTTAACGTAATACTCAACTCTTTGGACACTTTGTCGAACGGTTTTTCAACTTTCCTGTTCTTTGTACGTTTCTTCTTCCTTTTTACTGTGTCTTCTTCAACGAAATAGACATTAATTTTTACATTAGTTACAATAATCTTACAAAATGTATATACGGCTATGAACAGAGTCTGAGTATACGGAGGCAGAGATACGGTATTTCTCAATCCACACACACCGCGGTTTTCCACGGCACGGAAATCTTCCCTGCGCGAGCAGCGGACTCGCGCGGCTGACTCCGTTGTCCTATTACGTAGTTAGATTTAGGAAACTGTAGGAATGGTCGAAATAACCCGCCGCGGACAAGATAATGACCCGTGTGCGACGCCGTACACCTGAGGATCAGTGTACGGCGTTTCCCGGATGGATATCTCACAAACGACTGCAAATTGTCGCTCTGAACGCGTCACCGTATCTTCTTTCCGAGGAAAATATTATACGATAACGGGCGAAATGAAGTCACAGAGTATTTAACTTCCGCGAAGCGAAACGAAGTATCTCTTTTTCTCTGTCTCTCTCCCTCAGTACATTTTGCGTTAATTTGTTTCCGAATAAGCAGATGTGTTGTTAACATCGAGATTTTGAGCTGAATGAATCTCGAAAAGAAAATCTCACAAAGAAACTCTGCTGGTGAGTGCAAAAAATCTAGAGTCGAATTGATAAAAAAAAAAGATATAATGTATTACTAACAAGTAAATCTAAATTACTAGCAATGAAATCACAATGAACTCATTTATCCTCCACAGCAAAATGAAACATTTTTGTTGCACTTGTTGATGATAGGAGTGAGAACATTAAAAAGCTATAAACTGCCCGCGAAACTCAAAGTGGACTAAAATGAAAAAATGTGACCTAAATATTTTTTGTACTTCTACATTTGTGCAAAATTAGAAAGAAATCGAAGTGTAACTTTGGAATAGAATTACTTGTCAGAAAGGAATTCTTTTGATGGATGCGAGTAGAAAATGCGAAAGTGAAATTAGTAAAAAAGAGATATAATGTATTACTAACAAGTACTCAATGAAATCACAGAGTATTATTCTCTATAGCGAAATAAAACATCTCTCTCTTTCAGCACTTTTTGCATTAATCTGTTTCTGAGTGATTAAATGCGTAATTAACGTCGGGATTTTTAAGCTTTTGAATCTAAAAGAAAAAAATTCAGAAAAGGACTCTACTGGGTGTGAAATATGAGAAAATGCGAGAGTCAAATTGGTACAAAAATAGTTTATTATTAACGAACACTCAATAGTTATCGATATATGTACAACGTCTTAAAGTACCCGTGATAGAAAACAAAACGAACAAACAATTATGTCACTGCTTCTCCGGCGACAAACAGGAATTCGAGCCAGACTTGGTAACGTTCGTCGACGAACTGTCGGTCGAGTTGGCGTCCGAGACGCGAACGGGCGATCGGTAATCCAAGGAGACCCTCTTGGACGATCTGATGACGATCGGAGATAATTCGGGTGGCTCGGCGTAGTACTGGAGCTTGTCCAGCCGCTTTTGTATCGAAGAACTGCTCGCGACGTAACTCCAACTGTTGTTGACGGCGGTCGACCTCGGCGTCGACAGCGACGGCGTGTGGTCGACCGGTCTCTTGTCGGAGCCCGGGGCAGAATTGTATATTTTAATCGGGGTATTTTTGTCCGGCGCGTAGCGCGTCGGCGTTCTCGTGCTCGCCGGTCTCTTCTGCAACTCCACGTTGAGCTCGGCGGTGCATCCCTCGGCGTACGCGGCCGGATCCTTGAAAGGCAAATCGTTTGACACAAAACACTCGCAAGAAAGAAGCGAAATGAAGGAATGATCGGGAGAGAAAATCGCAAGAGAAAAAAGAGGCGTACCGTGATCGAGCCGCGCAGACTCTCGAAGGCCTCGTAGAGATGATTCCGCCGTGGATTGCGCGTGAAGGTGCTCTTATCGGTGCAATACGCCACCGGGACGTTCCACGAGGTCGCCCTACGCCATTCCAAATTATTGCACGCCACGACAGAGCCGACGGTGAGAATCTCCGCGTAGCCGTAACTGGCTATCCCTTGCCAAAACATTATCGAGAGATATGAAGACGAGTGGCTCGAGTCGCTCTTCGGGTATGTTAAGTGCGCGACTTCGAAGTCCTTCATACCCTATAGACACGTCGTCGAGTTATCATTTTATATACATTGAGTGTGTCGCGAGTTTTGCACGTACAAAATTAACACAATCATTCTGAAAAGGAAAAAAAAATTCAGATATCCAATCATTAAGAATCTTTGAAGTCCATAAAAGTCGTCACAGGATGACAATCGCGAATATTTTATCAATTATATTTCTATACTCTATATTTTTCATCTATTTTGTGTGTGAACATATTTTTCTTGCTTCTATTCTTTTGTTCTTGTCTCTGTTCATCTATGATTTTATTTTGTATCGTATATATTTTATTCATATTTTATTTTGTGTCGTATATATTGTAAATAAGGGGCTTTTCCTCTTGAGTGCATTAATATTATTCTTAAAAAGATTATAGGAGGACAATAATGTTGATAAGGTATCTCAAGTGTTGACAAATTTTTTAGTCTTTTAATGTTCGTGGGACATTAATTAATAGCCACCTTTCCTATTAGCCTGCCGCAAATAATTATTCGCGACTCATTCTGCAGTAGCTTGAAAAATTCTTGGTTAACATATTAATATATTAATTACCAAATACGATATGCTAAACAGATACCTCTATACTGAGGGAAAAAAATATTTAAAAAAATTAAAAAATATTCGGTACTAATAACATACATTTACTTAAATCCAAATTATTTTATTTAAATAGAATAAACAATTGTTTTTTTATGAAAAGCTAAGAAAATATATATTTTCTTATTTGAGCATTATTTTATCAGTGTAACTAAATATGTTATTAGTATCCACTAAATAAATACTTTTTATTCCTTAGATATTTCTTTTCTCCGTATGGAATTTTGCAAATTTCGCAAAAAACAAGTAACACATAAAATGAAAGGAAAGTCAATTGCATTACGGAACGTCGATTCATTTCTCGGTTACAAATTCTACAGTAATTTTTGCCATAAAATTCTCTCCGTACAAAAATGTGAAAAGAATTCTCTGTTTCATATGCCAACTGCTCGCGTAGATTTTCTTTTTTTCATAAGTTTTGTCCAATAATAAATAAAATTAATCAACATATCAGAATAACACGTCGATTTCAAAATGGCTTTGGGCACATAGTTACCCAATGTCATTGTGGCAGTCAACGTGTTAAGAGAAGAGAACTCGGAAACACTGGCGGTGTGGCACACTTACGTAAGGAGCGGTGCCGACGGCGCAGACGAGACCGACCGTGTCGAATTCCCCGTAAGGCGGCGAGAACTCGGGACTGGCCATCTCGCGAAACGAAGCGCACACCCGGGGCGGATGAGACGTGTCGCGCATCGTTCCCGGATTGAAGAGCGCGCAGCGACCCGCGGTGAGTTGTAGCTCGCATCCCCTGTTGTTGGACGAATGGACGTTGCGTTACACTTTGCACATGGCATTTTGCGCTCGTGAAATCCGCGTCGGGACGTTACGCTGTCGCGCGGCATTGTAATTGTGCGGAGAATCGCGCGACGTTGTAATTGATCCTTTCGCGGCGGAACGGTACCTTTTCCCGGCGGCGGTGACGTTACGCAGTGAGACGCACGCGCCTTCCTTGAGGGCGTCGACGACCTCTTCGCCGGGCGACCAGATGGAGAGGATGGCGTGCGCGTTCCCATCGCACACGCGAACCTTGAGCAACGGCGAGACATGTCGCGGCGCAGGCAGGCTTTCGCGCAGCTTCCACTGCAGCTGTTGCTTGTAGCGCTCCTTCTTCATGTGCAGTTCGCGCAGCAGCTCGTCCTGCCGTTTCGTGCCGGCAAATTTCTGTTTTGTAAACGTGTACGTTCGATAGTCCCCCGCCTCTCCCGTGAAAAAAAATATGTCTGACGGTATCATCAAGCGATCGGAAAGTCATACCTGCGCAGAGCTCTCGCTATCTTTGCCCGATCGAGCCGTCAACAGATCCTCCTCCTGGAAGTCCTCCTCGGCTTTGTCGTAGAACGCCTCCGCCTTACGTCGACATCGCTGCTCGTATTCTGTCTGCGCTTTTTCCTCGCTTTTGGCGTTTCTGAGGACTGTCGAAGGCGGCATAAAAACAGTGCCAAAGATTACATTGAGATGCAAATATCGTCAGACTGATACGTTGACCGCCACGTGAGTTTCCGCGGAAATTCCGTCATTTACTTACGAGGATTTTGAAAAATGACAAATCTTTTGCATCAATCTAATGTTTAGAAGAATACTGAATAGAGAAGAACAAAAGTTTACGGATTCTTTGCAATACTTTATCTCGATATCGCGTTTCGTCCTAGTCGATATACTAAAAATCAAATTTTTATTCAAATTAAATACTGCAATATTGAAATGAATACAAATTATATACGCAAATGAATTTCCGCTGATCTGCTGAGAAGAAAAATAGAAAGTAATTTGAACCGAAGAATTAAGGGGATACCGACATAATGCAGTTTCGTAGTTTGCACTGTTTTTATTAAAAATTGACATTTGTACTTTCACTATGTGTAAAAGCGTTTAGAATGGTTTCTACACGAAAAAATGGAAAAACAATGAAACTGCATTATCCAACATCCCCTTAATTCTTCGTAGTTCAAATTACTTTCTATTTTTCTTCTCAGCAGATCAGCGGAAATTCATTTGCTTTGCAACAATATCACGTATATAATTTGTATTCATTTCAATATTCCAGTATTTATAATTTGAATAAAAATTTGACTTTTAGTCGGTAAAAATTTGATTTCTGCATTTCGGTATCTGACATTTTCTTAATATAACGATACACCGAGAATTTGGGTCTAATGGGGCCCACATGTGGCAGTCAGCGTGTTAAAGCAAAAAAAAAAACTGTGAAGTGCCTTACCCGACTCTCCGGATGCGGATTTCTCGTGATACAACATCGGATACACTCTGGCGACGACGATCGTCATTTTGCCGATGAAGCCGCCGCTCGGACAGACGTCGCGCAGTCTCACGGGTATCGGTCCCGAGGGCGACGCGTATCCCAATTTCAAGTCCCATCGCGCGCGTCTAGTCGAATTCGTGTGCAACTTGAGGCACACGTCAGCCCGTGCCTGTGCGCCAGACAAGAGATTTAACATTAAAACTACCGAGTATTAACGACTTATTTCTATCAAAGCGGCCAGAATGACAGATTTCTAAAAAAATACGTAATGCACAAGAGGAAAAATACTGATTTATTTTATTTTATTCAACGTCAATTAACTCGCTATCAGGATCACACGTGTATGACGCATTCATAAGATAATAAGATGATAAGATAATAATAAGATAATAATAAGATACTAATAAGAATAACCAGGATTAGATGCGTGTCCGCATATTGATACTTTCGCCATAATTTTTATAAGGGATTATAAATAATGATTTTTTTATAAGAGATTATTTTTATAAGAGATTATTTTGACTGCTTAGCTAGCTTGATTGGTAGAGAAAGTTGTGATATTAAAAGCGGATCGCGCGTGCCGATCTCGACGCAGAATAGCTTACCTCCAACGGATAACAAGCCACGTCGCAGTTGAGCAGTTCCGCGCCGTACACCAACAATTTCGTGCCCTCCCGTACCTTGCCGGTCGATACGTTCTTCACCATGCCAAGGTCGATGCAGGCGGGTATACTATACCAGCCATCAGTTAATTCGATCTTCCACTTCACCACTCCTACGCGCGGACTCTTGCCCACCTCTATGGTGGAATTAGCTATGACGCTATTCTGCAAATCGAAATGCATTAAGCGTACGATTTGTCAGCCACTATTCGTTCTCGCGTTCTTGGTCTGATATTGAGTTTTACGACTGATTTTGTTTTGGGTGTAAGCACTGCGTCTGCTACAACGATCAGCTGATCTTAACAATCAGCTGATTTTGACAATCAGCTGATTGCCCTTGGCGATCGCCATTTTGATGATCAGCTGATCTTTCTCGACAATCGCCATCTTGACGACCAGCTGATTTTTCTCTTGGAGATTTTTTTATTGTTGCACGTAAATTATTTTATCTTTTTGTACGGTAAATATTTAAATAGTCCGTCGTGTGATTACTCGGGAGTTGTTGAATCTAACTATAACAAAACTAATAACAAAACTATAACAAAAAAAAAATCTTTTGTTGAATCTAATATCCGTTTGACGAATGAACCTTATCTTTCCGCGAAATCTAAAATCAATTTCGACATTTGCGCACCCGGACTGTCAATCTCAAATCGTACGTTACCTCCATAATCGACGAAACACACAAAACCATCCTCTTGGACGCGACGTCATCCTTCTCCAGGATACGTCGTATAGCCGGTCGCTGGGATCGATCTATTTCTCGATCATAACGATACTTTAACTGCGCCATCACGTGCGAAGGTGTTAACGCTCTACAACACAAGAACGAATAATTATTGTTCAGAAAGAATAAAAATCTTAAAATATCTTATATTGAAGGATAAGACATAGACATATTGAAGGATAAGGATATTCTATATTGAAGGAAAAGACATAAAAATAAAAGATATTTATTTGATTAGTATCAATAACATATATTTACTTATATTAATATATATATACATATTTTATATATAAAGTGTCTGACAATTCATTACACACACGTGCAGGTAGAACTCATCAAACTGAATCCAAAATCCCTCTACCATTTCGCAAATAACCACGTAAAATTTTACGTTATTATTTTGAGTTATTATTAGACAAGATAGGTGCATTATCATGCACAAGCATGCATTAATTTTCTTTAATTACTAACTAGAAACCTACATAGTTATTTACAAAATGGCAAAGAAATTTTGTTTAGTTGATGCACACAATCTGCACACAACAAATGTGTAATTTATTGTCAGACATTCTGTATAAAACTTTTAATATATAAAAATATTTGTATATAATACAAATTATATATATATATATATATATATATATATATATATATATATACATACACATATATATATCTAATACATAGAATATATATATACATATTTTCGCATTTGGAAAAAATTTCTCTCAAATGAGAAGATATACATTTTCTTAAAACCGTAATTTTTCATAAAAGCAATATTGTTGATTCTATTTAAAAAAATTATATATAAATAAATATTTTATTAATATCCAAACCAAATAAATATTTTTTATCTTTTAGATATCTTTATTCTCAATACAGATATCTTAGAATTATTAATGCGTTATTTTTTCGACGATCGAGAAACTAGCCAAGTTCCATCGATCACCTAGACCGATATCGCAAACAGATAAAGTGATCAAACAGAAACCAAATAGATCTCTTTACCTGGACAACTGGGTTAAGCCGAACTTCATCCTGTCCATCGACGCTAACTTCCACACGATCCACCGGTAATGATTCTCAATCCACCGGGCCGGGATAAGATTCGGGTCGACGCCTGGACTCGCGAGGAAGGCACGCAGGAACTCCCAGACTCCCACATACCCGTTCTCGTCCATGATGAGGCGCGCGCCGTCCTTCAGCTCTAACCCGCGGACGTTACTGCGCGCCACGTCGCTGCCGTAGAAGTCAGAACAGCGGAGCTTGTAGGACGCAGAAGTCGCGGCGGAGATCGCCAAGATGTTCGGCGGTATCCGTTGATCAATGAGTTCCTGGCAGGTGCGCGGCGTAGGCGGCGCGCCTTTGCCAAGATCTCTCAGTGAAATGCGAGTTTCGAAGTTGGTCTGCTTAAGGTGGTACAGATATCCCGTGGATTGCTTCGACTTATGCCGTCTCTTCCGGGTGATGATCTCCTCTTGCTCCAACGCGACCTCCAGGCGATTTTGTAGTATCTGCGCCGACTCGTCGATAAAGTCCATCATCATCTGCGTGTCGCCGTAATCGCTGTTACTTTCCGGCTTCTGCCCGTCCGTCTGCATCGTCCTCTGCGACTCCTCCTCGTGAGTCTTCTCACGACGAACTGGCGCGTTCTCTCGTGGCGGTGCTATCGTGGTGCTCGCGTTTCCCTGCGATTGGTCCGACTGTGCTGCATCGTGCTTGCCCCTACGCTGCTCTAGACTCCAGCGCTTCTTCAAGGCAGGCTGCCTCCCTATCACGGGACTGCCCATCGCGTCCGGCTCGGAGAACTCTGAGGCATCCCTCTTAGGCGAGTACAGAAAGGAATCCACGGGATCCTCTTGGTTCTTCTCATTCGAACATTCCATGTCATTTACCGCAATCATGGTTGATTCCGCGTAAAATGTTTCAATTTTTCTGTCTTCCGCGTCGTCATCTACAGACATTTTGCTCGGGATGCGAGAATTTTCCAATAAGGTTTCCGTCAGGTCGTCCATATCGACAGCGTTCGAGCAGTCGGCAAATAACTTTCTACCTTCGAATTCATTGCTGAATCGCATCTTTTTCCAGCCGGACGCGAAGCCCCTGCCAAGAGGTGTGCTGTCGTCTGAAGTCAATTTGCGTTTCTCTGGGAAACACGATTCCGCTGGGGAATCTAATTGATCCGCGAATAATGCTTGCGCCTTGGAGAACGCTTGCTCAGAGACACCGATAGCAGCACCACGAGCAGTTAGAAATTCAACATTTGAAACTTTTTCGTCTTCTCCTCTGACTGTTTCGTTGTTAATATTAGATCTTTCCGCAATGTTGGATTCTGGTAATCCGTCTAATTCTTTCCTTAATAGCGATTTGGTTCTGGATAACGCTTGCTTGGAGATGTTGATAGGCGCTCCACGAGCAGTTTGGAACCCAATGTTCGGAGTTGTAACTTCTTCATCTTGGATATTAATTTCTTGTACGTTAATTTCTAATGGCTCGTCCAATTCTTGTGCAAACAGCGATTTGGCTCTAGATAACGCTTGCTTTGAGATGTTGATAGGTGTTCCACGAGCAGTTTGGAATCCAATATCCGGAGTTGTAATTTCTTTGTTTTGGATATTAGCTTCTTGTGCAACGTTAATTTCTAATGATTCGTCCAATTCTGGTGCAAATAACGATTTAGCTCTGGATAATGCTTGTTTTGAGATGTTAATAGGTGCTCCACGAGCAGTTTGGAAGCCAATGTTCGAAGTTGTAACTTCTTTATCTTGGATATTAATTTCTTGTACATTAATTTCTAATGGCTCGTCCAATTCTTGTGCAAACAGCGATATGGCTCTAGATAACGTTTGCTTTGAGATATTAATAGGTGCTCCACGAGCAGTTTGGAACCCAATGTCTGGAATTGTAATTTCTTTATTTTGGATACTAGCTTCTTGTACAATGTTAAATTCTAACGATTCGTTCAATTCTTGTGCAAACAGCGATTTGGCTTTGGATAACGCTTGCTTCGAGATATTGATAGGTGTTCCACGAGCAGTTTGGAATCCAATGTTCGGGGTTGAAACTTCTTTATCTTGGATATTAGCTTCCTGTACAACGTTAACTTCTAATGGCTCATCCAATTCTTTCGCAAATAACGATTTGGCTCTGGATAACGCTTGCTTCGAGATATTGATAGGTGTTCCACGAGCAGTTTGGAATCCAATGTCCGGGGTTGTAATTTCTTTATTTTGGATACTAGTTTCTTGTACAACGTTAACTTCTAACGGTTCGTTCAATTCTTGTGCAAACAGCGATTTGGCTTTGGATAACGCTTGCTTTGAAATATTGATAGGCGCTCCACGAGCAGTTTGGAATCCAATGTTCGGGGTTGAAACTTCTTTATCTTGGATATTAGCTTCCTGTACAACATTAACTTCTAATGGCTCGTCCAATTCTTTCGCAAACAATGATTTGGCTCTGGATAACGCTTGCTTCGAGATATTGATAGGCGCTCCACGAGCAGTTTGGAATCCAATGTCCGGAGTTGTAATTTCTTTATTTTGAATACTAGCTTCTTGTACAACGTTAACTTCTAACGGTTCGTTCAATTCTTGTGCAAACAACGATGTAGCTTTGGATAATGTTTGCTTCGAGATATTGATAGGCGCTCCACCAGCAGTTTGGAATCCAATGTTCGGGGTTGAAACTTCTTTATCTTGGATATTAGCTTCCTGTACAACGTTAACTTCTAATGGCTCGTCCAATTCTTTCGCAAACAATGATTTGGCTCTGGATAACGCTTGCTTCGAGATATTGATAGGCGCTCCACGAGCAGTTTGGAATCCAATGTCCGGAGTTGTAATTTCTTTATTTTGAATACTAGCTTCTTGTATAACATTAATTTCTAGTGGCTCGTCCAATTCTTTCGCAAATAACAATTTGGCTTTAGATAACGTTTGCTTTGAGATATTGATAGGTGCATCATGAGCAGTTTGAAATCCAATGCTGGGAGCTTTTACTTCTTGTTCTTGAACTGCTTCATTGGTGATATTAACTTCCTCAGTGACATTGATTTTTAATGGTTCGTCTAATTCTTTTGTAAACAATAGTTTTGCCTTAGATAATGCCTGTTTTGAAATATTTATAGGTACACCGCGAGCAGTTTGGAATCCAATGTTCGAATTTTTTATTTCTTGCAATCTATTTTCTTTATTATGAATATTGGTTTCTTCCGCAACGTTATTTTCTAAGGATTCGTCTAATTCTTTTGCAAACATCATTTTCGCTTTAGATAACGCCTGCTTTGAAATATTGATAGGTGCACCGCGTGCAGTTTGGAATCCAATACTCAGATTTTCTATTTCTTGTAATCTATTCTCTTTATTATGAACATCGGCTTCTACCGCAGCGTTAAGTTCTAAGGATTCGTCTAATTCTTTTTCGAACGATAATTTTACTCTAGATGACGTTTGTTCATAAACATTGCTACGAACATCATTAGCAGTTGAAAAGAGAAGCATACTGTCTTCTTTATCAATACTTTCATTTGCAAATGTCCGTTTAACATCTTGTAATACTTCTGAGGAGAGTGATAAATGCTGATCCATTTGTTCTACAGAATTTTTCTTATCGAGTAACTCATGATTTTCTTTTTGTACTTCATCTGTCAATCTTTGTATCTTTGTTTTAAATAATGTTTCCTTTGAAATGCTAATAGAACTATGTGCAGTAAAGGAACCAACACTCTCCTTCTCTTCCTTATTTAAATTTAAGGTTTGCGACTCTTCTCTATAGGTATTTACAATGTCTTGTTTGCTGTTATCTTGTAGAGTACTATCTATTGTTGCTTGCTTCTCGTAATTGTTAACAAATGATTTATCTATATTACTGAAAGAAGCATCATTATATAACTTTTTAGCTAAATCTAAGGTATCAGGTACAGTGTCTCTTAGTTGGTTGAAATTCTCATTACTATGTATTTTTTCTATCCTATCATGAACTTGAGACTTATTTCCATGAGCACTATCAATATGAGGTATTAATACTGTAACATTATCTTGTGCTACAAGATTAGTATTGTACTCAGCAGCAAATGGTGCTTCTTCTTGTTTACCTACAGTAATATTTTCACTGCTAATATCAGCTGATGTATCAATAGATATGGAAGATCTAAATATACAGCGTCGCTTAGGACGCTTTCGTACCACTCTGGTGACTATAACAGGAGAATCTGAAGTAATTTTATTGTCTGTACTCTTAGCAGATGAAATATCAGGTGTGTGTTGCTCAAGTTTAGGTGTTTCCCCTGTCTGAAATATTAATAACTTAATATTAAGATATATATAACAATGGACTAAAAAATATATATAACACAAATTGTAACAAAATATATTACATTTTTTGGTGCACTCGTTGAAAACCTTGCATGTAGCTGAGCTGTTCTGTCAGCTTGTGGTGTTTCTAAATCACTAGTCCATTGTTCGTTTATTTTATTCAGAAAAGGCACTAAACTCAACGGTGTAGATGGAATTACCGCATTACTTGGTGTTCTATCATTAAAAATATAAATCAGTGATTCAGAGAAATCAAGAGAAGCTAATTGTGTATTTGATGTACATAAATAGATAAAACTGTGCCTTACATTGCGTTTGAATTGTCAATCGATGACAAAGGTGTTTCAGATTGTAAAACTGAGATATCCAAGGAGACATCAGATCTGTAATTAATTTCTCTGCTCTCATCATCTGGAAATTCAGGTGTGTGAGAGAAACGACACTGTTCCCACGCGTAAACAATTCAAGAAGTTTAATTATTACCTGAGAACAATTCGTCGGATTCGTCCTCGTTTGTCATAAATGTATTCGCGACTGTGTCATTGGGTCCTCCAGATCCCGCTGTACTACTCATATTTGTATTTTGTTCGTCAATTCACTTTGGTTTGACATTTGTAATCAAAATTACCTTTTCTTGTCACGTGAATAGTCGTAATTTTTTGCACCATCGATGATATTGCTCGGAATTTAAAAGCAGTAATAAAAGATGTGCTGAAGCCGCTTAATATCAACTCAAAGAGATCGTATCTAATAACTAACTGAAATTCATAATAGTCACGTGTATTCATTGGGTACATCCAGAATCATACAAGTGCTCACTGAACATTTTAGTAAATAGCTAGAATTTTACTCGGAAATAAACATTTGAAATAAGAAATTGTCTGAGATGGCAGTAAACCATATTAAATGAAAATAAGAAGTTATTTCACATACTGTCGAATCGTATTAATTATAGAGACAATGCTTTAAAATTAAAAAAATTATAGGTTGTTTAATTCTTTATTTAGTCATACTACTTAAAAATAAGAAGTCCTCTGACTTATGCAGAATTCACACCGCATCCGATGTCCGACATACGACATCCGATATCCAATAAAAGAATAACTTTCCAATGGAGAATTGAATCCTCTATTAGAAAACTGTTCTCCTATTGGATATCGGACGTACGTCGGACATTGGACGCGGTGTGAATCCTGCATTATAATAGCTGCGTTCGGCATTGTAAACCGAAGACGTCGGATTGCTCTTTTACCTCGAAAATGCACAGAAGTGAGAGAGATACAAGATCTTGTATCTTTTTCATTTCTATGCATCTTCGAGATGCATAGGAACACACACTTGCATAAAGGTATAATGCACACGCATAAGAAAATTGACCAATCAGAGTCCTTCATCTTCATCGTGGTAATAAAAATGAGGACTCTGATTGGTTCATTTCTTTATGCGTTATGTATTATGTTTTTATGCGAGAGTGTATGCTTCTCGCTTTAGATTTACAATGCCGAACGGAGTTGTATCACGAACTTAGTTTGTCAAGGGCCGCGTTCCGAAATTCATTGCCACTGCTGAAATTCTATAGTATACGTCACATGAACTATTTTCAGTACTGGCAGTGAATTTCGGAACGCCAAGGACGGTAGCGACTAATGTTCACTCGTGCTATTGGAGAATAAAATTTGTCTGACTCATCGTTGAAGCGTGCTACTTAAAATTAAAATCTCGTCTAACCCGCCGTTGAGTTGTACCACGACCTCGTTTTCTCAAGGGGAACGGTGGCGATTCGTAGTGGAGGTTTTGGAACTACACTTTGTCATAAAATAAAATGACCCGTTACAAATAAGCCCGTTATCTCGCGTTTTAGTTTCGAAGCCTCCGTTACGAGTCGCCACTATTCCCCTTGAGAAAACGAGGTCGTGGTACGACTCAACGGCGGGTGAGAAGGGATTTTAATTTTAAGTAGCACATTTCAACGACGAGTCAGATAAACTTTATTCTCCAATAGCACGAGTGAACATTAGTTTATGTAAACATTTTCTTCCACTTATTAGTGAAATATACAAGTCTTTTTGACTATCTAGATAGAATTTATTGAAATTTGGAAATAGTGAAAAGCTAATTCCAAATCCTTCCACAAAAGAGAAATTACTCATCTATTTGTGAGTGTGATTAAACTGTTGTTTATATTCGATGTGCTAAGAGAAGTGTCACAAATCTTGCATTAAAAAAGCGTTAGTAAGTTAATAAAAATTAATTACTCTTTGTTACAATATTTTATACGTATAATTGACAACGTGCAAAATATAATAAACATAATTGGTTCTTGCATTGCATCACGCAAGAATAAAACAGAAAATATGTTGCTCCTTAACCTGCATTAGCATACAAATAATGCACTAGGGAACGGATAAATCAAAGTTTAAGAACTATTGTTTGTGAAAACGTTAAGTAAAACATTCAGAGTGTCATTTGATAATATGCTTTATTATTATTTACTAAATTCAAATTACTAGTTAGATATTGTGAAAATATTGTGGAAAATATTGTGTTGTGTTGTATTGTGTGTCAATTTATCATATATTGAGATCTACATTGTATTTTGCAGCAATAGTACAATTTTGTAATCGACAAAAATGGAACAACTACAGACTGCACTAACAGCTATTAAGGTCCTTCGTTCAAGTGTTGGACAAGTGTTTGAGTCTCTTGGAAATGGTCTACGGGCAGAACATGGAGAAGAAAACAAAGAATCCAAGTATTTGCTTGAATTGCAGGAATTGTTAACCACAGTAAATCTTAATTTAAGGTAAATTAAGGCAATTGGTAAATTAAGTCAATAAAGTAAATTCTAGCAATGACTAAGATTGAAATATTGGATTTTAATAAGAAAAGATTTATTGTTAAGCCATATATTAACCTCTATGAGAACCAGTTCATGCTCAAATATCTTACAGGGATGTAGAACAGGCAGTGAACAGTTTAAATCCACCACCAGGTCCATTTAATTTAGCTAGCACAACTTTTCTCAGTCAAGAGACTACACAGGAGAGACAAGGACTCTATAGTACACTTGTTAATAGCTACAAATGGATAGACAAGATTCACGAGTATAGCAATATTGCCCAGGCATTGCTCAGCCAAAATTCCCTGAAGAGATCCTATACAACTTCGACCAGAGCTAAAAGGGGAAGAATTCCTACTAGCAATCACAATGCATCCCAACAGTAAGCTACCTTTGATTCATTGCGAAACATTTTATTGTCTTTAATAAACTTTAAGGATTTCTGGTTTCCCATTGTTATGGAATCTTGGATTGATAATATCAGAAGCGAAAAAACACATGCAAAAAATTCTTGTAAAATGTTGCATAAATTATTCTTTTTCCCTGACACTCAATAATAATCTTAAAACTTAAAATAACTATAAAATTAATGTAACATATAATATAGAACTTTCTCTTTAATCTACCTTTTCTCATGATTTTGTCATGTTAATTTTAAGATCATTTATTGATTGTATAGAGAGAAAGGTAGTTTGCAGAATATTTTACAAACGTATTCAAGTAATATAAAATGTTCTTTCATATAAATATCTTTAATATTTGAAAGTAGTATGCAAATATTTCTGGCATATTTTTTCTTGTTTCTGACGTTATCAATCCAGGATTCCACAGCAGTGAAACTAAAGAGACTTAATGTATACTTAATGTATACTTTTGAACAGGCAAGTCGATAGCATGATATCAACGTTCGATCGGATGTTCAACGATATGACGGTGTCCGTGTCGCGTCCCTTCGCGTCGAATGCGGTATTACACGTCACCTTAGGTCACGTTCTGCAGGCGGTGATAGCCTTCAAGGGTTTAATGATAGAGTGGGTCGTGGTGAAGGGTTACGGCGAGACGATGGATCTGTGGACAGAGTCCAGATACAAGGTTTTCCGCAAAGTAACAGAAAACGCAAACGCTGCAATGTTGCATTTTTATTCGCCTACGTTGCCCGAACTGGCGGTGCGGTCATTCATGGTAATCAACGATTCATTAACGCTCTTAGCAGAACATTAGCATTAATGGGTACAGCAAAGCGAATATTGTTGAGTCAGAATGGTCGATTTGCGTGAAAGTCACCTATTATCTAAAGATTCAAGATATGCGACGCATGCATTTATTATATATTCATAATATATATAATTAATTTATATATAATTATATATCATTAATACGTAATGTTATATTTACATAGAGAACATTATATGTGGTATATTTATCGTGCGTCACATTTTCTTGATTTTACTTTCAGACGTGGTTCCACAGTCTGAACAATTTGTTCAGCGAGCCTTGCAAACGCTGCGGCTTACACTTGCACAGTGCGCTGCCACCAACCTGGAGAGATTTCCGAACCCTAGAGCCTTATCATCAGGAGTGCAAGCCGTAAGACGCATAGCAACTGTTGCGTCTTGCCTTTTAATTGAATCAACGATTTTCTATACTGATATTCTATTGATTATTCATCCGACACATCATTGTGTATATCAGAAAATGTTGAGTTCGTCAATAAAATATATTGCACATTCTATCACGCGATATGGTTATCTTCGATCAGTGTTGCAAAAATATCAATTAAATTTCTCTCAATTTAATAACTAATATGGACAAATAGGTCTCAGTTCAACTAATTGACGATTGATTCGAGTAGAATCGATCGAGGAATGTTCAACTGACGATTGACATCAGCGATTAAAGACGGTTCAACTGACAATTGATATGAGCGAAGGAAATCAAAGATCGTTCAATTAATAATTGGACTTAACAAATTTAATTAAAGGCCGTATAAAATTTCATTGAAAAGCGTTGGGTTACTCATACTTACAATTCACTTTTTGGATAATATTCATCGAAGTATCGTGGCATCAAGGATAATGCAGGAAAGATGTGTTTGATTATGAGCAGCTAGAATCGAATGAAACAGTTACCAATCACAACCAACAATAACTTATCAATTAGAGTGATGCACCGGAGGAAAAGAAGCCGTTTACTAGTCAAGGTAGCCGGAAAGTCATCCTGCTGCATGACAACGCACAGCTACACAACTACATACTACTGAGGCTGCAGAAGATCATCGATAAAGATGAGGAATATTTCAATGATTGAGCTCTTTTTGCTAGTTTTCAAATGAAGATTGAATTTTGCCAAAAAATTAAGACTTCTAACCATTACTAATAAACGACCTTTAGTTAAATTTGCCAAGTTTAATCGTCAATTAAACGATTTTTAATTATACCTGCAAAGTCCTATTGTTAATAGAATGATCTTTGATTCTTTTGGCTTATATCAAACGTCGATTGAAACTAATCGTCTATTGAACGATCTTCGATTGAGTTTGTTAAAGTCAATTGTCAGTTAAACGATTTCCAATTACATTGGCTCGTATTAATCCTCAATTTCAAACACGATGATCAATTGAAAGGGCAATCAATTACGCAGGCAACCCTGTCTGTCTACGGCGGGAATGGCGAGAAGGTAGAGTAAAACATTTTCACAGAGAATGTAAGGGCTTTTATAAAAAGAACTTGATTACATAACACTTAACAAATGCAACGCAGAACATTACGTTCTATTGAGAGAGACGAAAATCGCGAAAGTACGGACAACACATCGATCCGAAAGAGCGCCGAAGTCGCTGCCGGTCGCGCTTATAACAACGGAAAGCCGGGGACTTTAAAGCCTCCACGATCGAGTCTCACCGGGTCCGCCGACGACGGACGAACGAACGGTGACACTCGTTCGGGCAGATCGCAATGAAAACATACGGCTAAGAAAGTAAACACACCCCACTTCCCTCACATTGTGACAGAATGGCGGTGGCGGCGAAAAGAAAGTACACCCGGAAAATCGAACTGGATTATATCTGTTTAGTTAGTGGAGAGAGAGAAAGAACTTATGATTATGTAGCGCTAATTTCTTTCGGTTTGGTTTTCTTTGCCTCGTTTTTCCCCGTTTTTTTTTTTCTTTCTTTCGCCTTAATATGTCGTAATATACAAATGAGCGGGCGCGTAAACGTTTCTCTTTCTTTTTCCACTGGGATTAGCTCTGCGATCAATGACGTGCTCTCATTTTACGTGTTTTTTCTCTTTTTTCTTTCTTTTCTCTTGTTGTCATCTATATACCCTACGTCGTATGTATACCACTCTTAAAGTGTGTGTGTTGTGTGTCGTTTACATGCTATTTAGTTTTACATAATGCTAATTATAGTATCATATGTAAATATAATTACGTTATTAAGTACTTTTCACATAACTGTACACATTCACATCTTGGAATATTGGCGCTCACCTAAGGGGCGCAAGTCGTTTGAGTGGCAGTGAACTTATTATACAAATCGTTATTGTTAAATCACTTAACTTCGCTGGACTGTTCGAAATTTTGCGTGGATTTCTTTTCTTTTACCTTTTCTTTTTTTTGCTTTTGCTTATATACTCTCTTCTCTCTTTCCCGTTTTATCTTTTTTTTTTCCTTTCTTTCTTTCTCGTCCGTAAGGCTCTATGAACTTCGTAATTAACTCGATGAGAGCTTCTTTTTTTCTTTTCATTAAATATATACTGCGTGTCATTGACTCGGAGAAACCATTGATGAAATTCATTGCTTATCCTCTTACAAAGTTGTGGTGGAGCGCGGAACACATTAGGTCCTCCGCGCGTTTCTTTAAAGGTAGCCATTTCACATATTATATGTATATATGTATACGTTATTACAATTTTAGAAACGAATTATTCGTTATAGTGTCATATACGCGCACACGCGCGCGCGTGTGTGTATACGTTTGACAGTGTGTGAATATATGTGTGTGTGTGTGTGTGTATATGTCGATTACAGATAAGTGAATCTTTTTCGCAGGCGAGGATCAAGGGAAAGAGTCCTCCGTGCCCGGGGACGCTTCTCATTCTCGAAGACTTGCGGGGAAGGCGGGAGAGTCGCGGAGGCACGGAAAAACACCTCTCGTTCCCTCGCTCACGTATAAAGAGAGAGAGAGAGAGAGACAGTGAGAGAAAGAGAGAGATCGCGGTAATTGATCGGTCACACGGCATACTGCATACGCACGCGGGTAGAAATTGCCGCGCGTGCGTGATAATGGATGAACAGATGGACTGTTTCGCGCGGTGTCAACGATGATCTGTCGTTTTATTTGTGAACACATATCGCAGCATGCCTTTTCTCGGTGTGAGATATTGGTGGGTAGATCGAAAGGGGGTTTCACAGCACGATGAGTCGAATAGTTTTACAGCTATTAGCTTAATACCGCGCGTCTTCGCTTAATAATCCGATACGCCCAACCGATCCCGCCCGATCGGAGAGAGAGAAAGAGAAAGAGAAAGAAAGAGAGAGAGAGAGAGAAAGAGAGATAGGTCGAGAGAAAGAGGGAGACAAAGAGAGATAAAGGGTTTGAAGTTTTTCGTGAGAGTCCTCGGACTCCTTACAATACTCAGCGCACTTAGTTTGAGCGAAAATATATATGTGTGTGTGTATATGTGTAAATATATATATGTATATATACATGCATATGTATATATGTATATACATATATACGCGGTTCCTCGCGGTCCCTCAAAATTCAGGTATAATGGCGATCGTACGATCCGCGATTATTATACAGCCGTCGCACCGGAGGATGCGTGTGAGAGGGAGGGAGAGAGACAGACAGACCGACAGACGGAAAGAAAGAAAGAAGGAAACAAAAAAAGAGATAATTTTATTCGCCCATCTCACGCGGTAAGAAGTTTCTCTAATTATATTAATTAGCTCGTTTTTACGTCGCGCGTAATATATAAGCTAATTAATATATGTATATATATATATATCAATGTCACTGTCACCTATAGCTATACAGGGTATCCTAAGGATAGCCTGTATATATATGTATATATATATATATATATATATATAATTCTATATATATATACGCCTAGCCTAGTATCTTTTCTTTAATCGATAATTTTCATATTATCCTGGATTCCTTCTGATAATACCATAATGCAAGGAGATCTACTTTAGCATATCTTCAGTTCTCAATAGCTTTATTGCCTTTCTCACTGAATCTGTATGTTTTGGACAACTTATAATTAAGAACTTCCTCAATCTCGGTCGCTCACTCCAATGATATCATACGACGTTCCGTGCGCGCGAATCCCGCTTAATTAATTAGTCTTGCTTCCCGTCTCGCGTTCCCTCGGGATCGTTCCCTTTATCCTAAATATTATATTGCGTTTACATCGCGACGCAGCAGCCGAAGTCGTATCCGTGCCGTTTGTCGTCCCGCGTATTGAATTACTCGAGCCGGCCACGAGAGGAATCAGCCGGAGTGCGTTTCGAAACTCCGACGCCAGAAATTAGCGCAAGTATCTTCGACGTCCTCCTCGTTGCTTCCTACTCTCGGCGTAACGTCGTCTCTTTACAGACGACTGTGCGAGCCTCAGTAAATGCCAACTAACAGTCCCATTGTATCAATAATATAACTTCCCACTCAGCCAGGTAAGCGTAATATAACACATGTTGCACGTAGCAGTTACATTGTTGACTGAGAAATCATAACACTGATGTAACGTTATTGCCAGTTGGTGTTTGCTGGAACGTACACTGAGAGAAAAATACTTGGAAATCTGTTTGTGGGCTACAAGTTTATTTCACAAAATTAGACTTTATATCTCACAAATAGAGATTTTTAAGTACTTTTTTCTCGGTGTAACTCTCCTCACTAGTACTGTCAACGTAACTCGGCCAACAAGTGTCAACACACTTGCGGGAATTACTCGCGGGCAAATAATAAATAGTTACGAATATGCAATGCATTTGTTCGTTACTTATTATTGTTGAAAACATCAATAATTTGGAGAACTCAAATTATTTCGTGTACTCGTTAAATTAAGACACAAGTTGCCGCAGAAGGCATACGAACACAAAATAACAAAAAGGGACAAAATAACAAGTCCTTAAGTTAATATACTGCATATTATAAAGCATTGAATGTCATTTATATTAAAAACAAATTACAGCATTTTTAAGTTTTTAAATAAGATAAAATAAAATAAGATAAAATATCAATGACACTAATAACATTGGTTCTTAACTCTGGACGTTTTTATTGTGTTAAATATAAATACTTAAATTCTCAATATAGAATATATATATATATATATATATATATATATGTTTTGTTATATATATTCTACATTAAAAGTTTAAATATTCATATTTAAAAACCAAAACAATAAGAGTGTTCAGTCTTAGTGTTATTAATGTAGTCGTAGCATTGATAATTTTACCTTAGTTACAAAACAGCAATGCATTTATTCGTTCTTTGTCATTAAGAGAAAAATTAACAACCTAAAAATCATATAATATTTGAAATTAATTACACTCCGCAATACCCAAGTTATTTAGACCGAAAGATCCGGACACGCGGGCAGTCAAAATTAACAGCATTAACCCTCCTCATTTCTCTCGAGAAGATGCAAAACAAATTAAAGCGACACAACGACCCTGTGAACAACGAGTAACAATAAAGTTCAATGTTACAATTTCCCACTCGACAATGTCACTGTTACGCGCAACACGTATTGTATCGCACTTGCATTGTTGGGTGGGAAATTCCAATATTCATATAATGTTACTGTTACTTGAAGGAGTTCTAAAGCAAGCATATTATCCTACACGGCTCCTCAGAAATGAAATTAACGCGAGAAAATTTACGGCCAGTAACAGCCGAACACAAAACTTCAGTTGCTAAATTCGTATGTTCGACAGTATAATTGCATGTGCCAAAATTGCCTACACCGTTATACACTTTTTGCACACAGTATTTTAAACGTATAAATTTAGCAACTGAGATCTCTGCGTTTGGCTCTTATTAGCCGAAAATTTCCCGCACGTTAATTCAAGGGAGCTTACTGAATTTAAGTTACTCTTAAACGACTGTTATTTTAAACGACTGAACACTTGGTCAGAAGACTCGAGACGAATAGAGAAGATTTATGTCCATATTCATTGTCAGGCTTTATATTTAAGGCCTCCTTAAGTTCATCTTCAGATGCTCTATGGATCATTTTATTGGCTACAGAGCATCTGAAGATAAATTTAAGAAAGCCTTAAATATAAGGCCTGAATACGGACATTAGACGCACCTTAAGCCTATACGCGATCTTAGTGCACGAATTCGCCCATCGATTCGTCGATTTCTTTTGATCGATCTCTTCGCCAATCGGCCTAATTGCGATTCACGGACTAACGCAACGAGTCTTCGCTGTTATTTACCGCGTCGTGCTTGTGAATATTCAGATCGCATGGGCGGTTGTTGGATCTATTCGCTGTCGAAAGTTGAGAGGATCGACGGAGGGTGAGAGTCTCCTTCATTCTCGCTAGCCGAACCAAGCGGATTCGCGGGGAAATGATTGCTTGATCGACAATGTGGCGGGCGCGAATGTAACGTAAAACGACAAACGATAGAGAAGCCGCAAGCCCCGCGCATTTCCGGCTCGTACTCGCTCGTGGTCGCGAGTGACCCAGCAAACACGATGACGTATTATTAGCGACGTCTCTGACGTCATTAACGCGCAATTAATGCGTCACTTGTCGTCATTAACAAGCCGCCATGTTTGCTGAGGAGGAAGTGACAGAACGCTCCTCGAAGGAGCTGTTCCCGATGCTCGATCGATGTTCCGAGCGAGGGACTGAATTTTAGGATCTGTGAAAGAGAAGAGAACGCTTGTCCGAGTCGAGTTCGAGGGGGTGCGCTGCCCCATTGTTCCTCCAGTTTGCCCCCCGGCCGTCGATAACGCTACTCTTCAGCGGGGAACGGAGTACGCTATTGCTACTTGTACAGGGATTATTATGCCATCTCTGGATGATCGGCAGTGATCATCTCGACGCGTCGCAGATGCGGTAGAAGTATACAAGTATATACACATGTATGTACAGAGAAAAAGAGAGCGCGTGGGATCGTCCCCCTCCCCCTCGTCGGAGGCCCCCGAGTCGCGTGCACTTGTTCGTTTGAGAGGATCGATCGCGGGAGGAAGAGAGATCAATGCGGAGTAAGAAAAGGCATGCCTCTGCGCAAGTCGCGCGCTGCTTCTGTCGATCTCGCGATTCGACCGAGGAGACGCGATTCGATTCGCGCTTTCTCGATCGCGCTGTTCCAGTCGTCGCCGCGATCGACGACGCGTGTGTCCGGTCGACTCGCAAGCTGAACGAAAAGTGCAGAAGCCTCCACCCCGAAGATCAAAGATTCGCGATTCTGCACTGAAGAAGAAGAAAATACTTAAAATCTCATTCGCGGGATGTGAAGCTTATTTCGGAAAGAGGCGAATTTTATTTTCTGCGAAATATAAAGTTCTGCGAAATGCGCTATTTCTGTGAGATAAACTTTATATCCTACAAATAAATTCCTAAGCGTTTTCTCCTTAGTGCACGCGACTCTCTGTTGATCTCTCTGAGATTCACGAGGACGATTCTCTGCGAAGAATCATTTTTGCAATCAGTTGCTTTTATTTATACGTTTTGCAACTATCCTCTCTTTCTCTCTGTCTCTCTCTTTCTCTCTCCCTCTCTCTCTCTCTCTCTCTCTCCTCCTTTGTTTTCTTTTTCTCTCCCTCTCTTTCCTCTCTCTCTCTCTTTCTCTGTTCTTCTCTCTCTCTCTCTCTCTCTGTTTCTCTAGAAGAGTGAATTCTAAAGTATATCATAAGAATATCCGAGGCATGAATAATCAAGGGATCAATGCATCCACTCGGCCGAAACGCAAAGTGTGCCGTAGTGTACTCTGCGTTTTGTAAGATAAAATATGGTTCATCTTTTGGTTCATGAATATACATGTACTGCGGTCGAGAGGCACCGTATATGAATTCGACGCGATCGAACCGTTGTGGAAGTCGCGGCTACAATTGAAAGATAAGCTAATACAGTGCTTTTTCGTCTTCGTTTCTCCTTCTTCTTCCTCATTTTTTTTGTTTCATTGTTAATTTAAAGCAGTTGGTCTCGATGCTCAATGTCTAAGATCTTCGATGCGAAAGTCGCGACGATCTCGAGTCGCGATGCCTCGTGTCTATTATTAACGCACTGTTGCGCACCGCGGCTTGTATAAAGGCAGGCATTCCCTTTTCGCGCGTTTCCCGATTCCGAAGATTTCAACGAAAAAATTTCTTCAGTCTGCCCGCAATATGAGCCTGGCGAGGTGGTCGGGCTGAGGGGCGTCGATAGGAATTCCCTCGATTAAATTCCACCCCTGATTTTTCAAGACCAGAGATCAGATCGAGGATATCCTTGTTCTTCCTCGTGAAAATTTTATGCTACCTCGTATGCATATTTTTGACCTTTACACAGAGAAATACATACTGCGTTCAAATAAATGTTACTTTTGTTTCAAGTATTTTACAAATTTATGTATCTGCAAATCTATCATATGAATTCTCTAATAAATTTGTCAAACTTATGTAAATCTTCATAAGTAGCGCGAAGGTCCAGGCCTTTGAAATTGTAACTTAATTATCCTGAAAGCTCCTAAAAGTATGGAATGATAAAATATCGAAGTACATTATTATCTTTATTGGAATTATCATGATTGTCAATAATGTTAGCCTTAAGTGTCCATTAATGAAATTAATAGACTTAAAAGACTTCTGTTTGTTCTCAAAATTAAACCCAATGGATACCCATTAATAGAATTTTCACTATCGTGTTTAAATTTTTTTTGTATAATGCTTAGGGTGTGACAATAAAAATGCTCTGTCTACTGAACCAATTATGGTGCCTATTTTTAGCAAAATGGAAAAATTCAGATATTCAGAAAACGTTTGTGATACGAATCGTTTTCAGTGTGGTCGTTAATAATTCTCAAATTCGCATTAAGAAATTTAATCAATTCCCAATAAACACCAACAATCAATAACATCAATGTTACAATTACTCACTCAACGATGTAAATATAATATAACACGTGTGTTATGTAACAGTTATATTGTTGAGTGGGAAATTATGACACTGATGTATTGTTAGCCGGTTTTTACTGGGCTTGGACGTGAATTGTAATCGAACGTTAAGTAGTTCTTTGTCGAAGATAATTCAACATCGCTCAAAAGAAGTAAAGTAGGCTTTTTCTTAGCAGCAGAATGATATTTTCCTGTGTCATATCAGAATCAAATGATGCACTGTTCGATTTCCTCCTGCGATTGCATGGTCAATAAAAAAAGCTCTCGTCGCAATGAGAAGGCAGTCGGGAGTAATTTCAAGAACAATTTGATATTCTGACGGTCATCAATCCAATAATTTCATTCCGACTTTGTTGAGCAGAGATTTCTATCGACTCCCCTCAATTCCCCAGCTCCCTCCAGGCCTCGAAACAACCTTGAGCGGCGAGTTATCTCTATGCCTCGCTTTATTTCGCATCTCCTCGCTCTCAACAAACAGATCCTCGATCGTTCGGGAGCGAGACTGCTCCCCCGCAAACGCAATCCGGCGCATTTCCTCGTGGAGCCGCGGTGAATGGATAAAACTCGCTCCCGACACGATATCTGGACCCGAGCGCCGGGAATGACGAAAAGAAAAGATATCACAGTGTCTCGAGGGCAGGTCGTAGAATCTTTTGAATTTTTTGTCGCGGTAAATTGGCAGTCGCGCACAGCAGTGCGCACCCCATCCCCGTCGTCTCCGTCGTGTCAACGTCGTCATCGGTCGTCTTCGTCGTCATCGCCATCGCCGTCTCGTGGTCGAGAACGCGGGGGTAATACGGCGCACGGCGCCCGACTACACACAACACGGTGCGCGATGAATCGTACAGAGGACAGTGATACAAAAACGCGACACGCAGTCCCGATGAGTCCTAGAAAATCAATGATATAAAAGTGAATGTATATATATAGATACACACACACGTGCCTCTTCGCCCGAGAACGAAGGGGTGGCTCACTCGACATGGGCTCGCTCTCGCGCCCTGCCGACTCGCGTTTCGATATCCTTCGACATCGCGCCCTTCGACCTTCGAGCAGTCCCCTCATCTCTTCCGTCGTATTTCCGTCTCGAGTACTCTCGTGGTGTGCACGCGCGTGCACTCGCGATCGCAATCGCGGCTCTCTCAGATCGCAATTCTCTCCTTTGTGCGTCCCTTTACATCCCTCCTTCTCATGTGTTCTCTCCTCTGTTCCTTTCGCATACTCATCTAGGCACAAATCACTTTCGCAACATTTCGGGTTAATCTACCGACCGGTCGATCAGTGCGCGTCTTGCACGCGTGTGTCATCGTCCTTTCTTTCGTTAACGCGCGGTGTCTTCCCCCCGTAGATTCGCTCGCTTAAAGGGAAGATCGGCCGGGGATCGTCCCATCTCGTATTCGTCGTCATCATCGTCGTTGCTTAGACGCCCTGTCGATCACCCTCCGGGATCAGCCGGTGAGAGTTGAGTCGATCTGAGCATCCCTCTCGTGAAACACCCCGAATTTCAGCATATCGGATCGCCTCGAGTTCGTCAGGCTCGATCGGGATGGTTCCGCGGCTTGCCGCGGTTCACTCAGAGAGACACGTCGCGTTTCATCCTCCATTCCCCCGCCGACAGGCCAGCGTCCAACGTTCAACGCTCTCACCCCCGGACAATTACCCCGATCGGCCCCCGGCGAGCTCTTCATCTGACTCGTCTCGCAGAAAGACAGACAGACTGACAGACAGATAGACAGACAGACTGACTGACTGGCAGACAGGCGGACCAACGAACGACGGCCGTTCTCGCCGGTCTCAAGGGTCAACTGTCGCGACGGAGCTCGGCGAGTGGCTCGGCGTCGTCGATCGAGACGCGTCCTAGTGTCCGGCTTCCGCTCGTCCAGGTACCTCGTCCTCCTCCGTTCTCGCCCTCTCGTCATCACTGCTCGTTGCACATCGCGTCGCTCGTCGCCCTCTCGAAGCTCTCGTTCGCGCTCCAGCCGAGGCTGGTGGCGCGGCGCAGGCTGTTCCGCAGGAAGGTCGCGCACGCCTTGCTGCTCTCGGTGATGATCTCGTACAGCTGGTTCTCCAGGCTGAGGCTGCTGGTGGTGAGCAGCAGCGGCAACGGTATCGGCGCGTTCATGATCACTAGGTTACCGATATTAAGAGGAGCTGTTTCCCATTGTCAGACACCGCTGTTCGGAAAGCGTGGCGGGGGAAGCGGGGGCGGTGGTCTCTCCGGCTGAGCGGGAGCGACGGAAGAGCGCTCGGATCCAGCTGCAAACACAACTGTGGGGTGCACGTTAGTCTCGACGCGAGTTCCTCTCGGGACGTGCGCGCGCTCACGTCGTGTGTTACTCGTCAAAACTACTTCCGGTAGCACAGCGCGTTAAACACCTACAGATACGTACGTGTCTGCTGGGTGTGTGTGTGTGTGTGTGTGTGTGTGTGTGTGTAGGTATGCATGTATGCATGTGTGAAACTCGTAAGACGGCAAGCAAGCTTTTCTACTGTTGTCTCGCAGACGAGGAGAAAGAAGGGGGCTGAGTAAGTGGTCGGCTTAGCCGTCGCCCCGGTCAAATTGTAACTCGTCGTGACGGACTCGAGAGCGATTACTCCCGGAGAAATGCGGGACACAGCTAGTACTCGAGACAGGAGGGAGGACGACGTTGCTTCTCGCCGTCGCCAAGACGATTATTGCTCTCGGGGACGTGAATTATGGACGCAGCGTGACGCTTAACGGGAAAAGCACCTTCTTTGTAGCCACTACTCTCTCGACGTCTCCTCGAGCTAATCCCATGCAATTCAAGCGCACCTGTGGACATTGGCCAGAAAGAAGGTCGATCGCGCTCGTGGGAGAATGATCCACTGAATCCGCATGAATCGAATGCGAATGCGTCGATATCGGGGGTTTTTGTGTGTAGTTGGTCGATTATTCGGACGGTAATAGTGAAGCGAGCTGTCTCTCGCTCATTAATTTCAAGGTATATCGTGAGACGCCCGTTCCCCGCGGATGTCCTCCGGCGAACTGGAACCCCTCCGCTCGAACGGGAAAATAATTCGATTTTGTCGATACACGTAGACAATTCTTTTTTCGGATAATGCAACTAATAATATTATTTGCAAGGCTTTTATATTGTTCGACTGGGATATACTGAGAGCCAGAATTTTTGTATGACAGCAAATGAATAGTTCGGTTGAATATATCTTGTGTGTGTATGTGATGGTATACTTTACTATACTCCGAAAAGATATCAGAAGAGTAAAAAGTGTCCCATATTGATGTGTGTGTTTTTGTCGCTGCAACTCGGGGGTCGCTCGTTATTTCTAGTGCCAGTATAGGAAACAATGTTATCTGGGCAGCAATTGTTATGTAACGTATAGTAAACAATACTATGTATGCGCGTCTATGAGAATTGTAGAAAACGGAATATTCGTTGTTGCGCTTTTGAGCAGTGATTGGCAGTTGTGTCGCGTTGCATTGCTCGTCATCGTTTGTAAAGGAACTGTTGCACAAGTCAACTCGTTGAGTTGAGTTTGGCTTGGAGAAAACGCAGAATTTCTGGTTCGTACAAGCCAAGCTCGGTTCTGTTTTCTTCAACCAAAATCGTTGATCGACAGACTAAATCGACCAGATTTTTTCCTCCGTCTAGCAATAAAGCAATGCATATGTATGAAAGACATAATTCAGTATGGGAATATTTTTTTACACGCGTTTCCAAACTTTTGGAAAAGTTCTATACTTCTTGGAAAAAATTATACTTTTGTGAACAGTTTTACTCTTAGCCCTCCAAATTAATAAATTAATAATTTGGATTGTTTTAAATAATTTGAAATTATTTAAAATTAAGGAAATTATTTAAAATTAATAATCATATATAATTAAGAATTATTTAAAATTAATAATAATTTGTAATAATTGTAACAATTGTAATAATAATTTATTCGCACAAAATTATTTAAATCAGTAAAAATCTGAAATAATAATTAATAAAAATTTCCCATATTTTCTTCAAATATTTTCTATATTATAAATATATAAAGTACTGGCTAGGCAAGACTACCATCGTCCTTCTTCAGTTAATGAGTGCTTATTTCCTCGAGAGAAATTCTCTGCGTGTAAAGAGTGTTGCATTTATACCGGTCAGTACGACGGATTGCTTATACGTTTACCTGACAGACGCACATAGTTGTGCGTGGTCTTATTAAGCTCAGTAAGCTCATTCGGAACAAACCTCATAGAAAACCTCATAGGAAAGAAAGCGCACAAGTGAGTACTTTGCCTTCTGAGATCGCGTATAATTATGCGCGCCTGCAACGAAATACATAAGCAACGTCCTTAAACGTCGATAAAACCTCAATCTGAATTTAAGTCTTTCTCTGAACATAGTTCAAGCTCAGATTAAGGCTTAATCGACGCTGGTGAAACCGGCTACAAGTCATGTGAAGAAGCATCGGTTCGTTCGGGGAGTTGCAGCGAACACTTGTTCGTGTGTGGTGCATGTCAATGAGAATTTGTGTCCCTCTTTGCACCGGTCGACTACGATCGAAACAATTACACGAGAGATCCGAGACTCGGCTGAAGTGCGACTCGAGGATTTCCTCCGTTGATTTTTTTTCCTTCCTGCTTTTTCGAAGCCGAACGTCCACGGTCGACCCTCCCGAAACGCAGAGATAAACATCCGAGAAAAGACGTTGCTCCTACGCAACTAGAGAGATTACATTCATGCGCGCATGCCCCTTACATCATTCATGCTGCGAAAGTAATAAGTAGTCGTAATCGCGTTACGGTATAATTGTACCAAAATTAATAGCGCCAGCAACAACAGCAGCAGCAGCAGCAACAACATTAACTGCAACAACATTAACAACAACGACGACAACGCGCCAAGTATATATATGTACATCGGCCTTTGGTGAATTCGTCGCGCGGCCAGACGGATCCTACTTCGTGGACCGCCCTCGCGGATGCTACGTCAGTATGCGCGTGTGTCTAGAATGTGAAATTCACAGTTGGCCCGCTTTCTTTTAAACTACTACAAAGGCCAGTGTCGATAGCGCATTATACGTATATATATAATAATAATGATAATAATAATAATAATAATAATATACGATAATATATCCGTAGAGAAACAAAGCGGTACGTGAGTGTCTACCAATTTGTCGTTATACGTAAGATTATACACGTAGCGTCAACTAAGTTCAGAGACAGTGTAGAAATACACACAGAATGGAAAACTGTCATATATATATATATATATATGACAGTTCGCAATATATACTGTATAATATATATATATATATATATATATATATATATATATATATATATATATATATTATATATATATTATATATTATATATATAATATATATTATATATATATATATATATATTATATTATATATATTATATATATTATATATATATTATATATATATTATATATTATATATTATATATATATATATATATATATATTGCATAGAGAAAAAGAGAGAGAGAGAGAAAGAAGGAGAGAGAGATGACAATAAAAGTATAGATGTATGTAAGATATCCATACATAGAGCTTATCATCCTGAAATACGTAGTCATATATTTTTCATCACGGAGTATCATGAAGGAGACATCGCCGAGACAGACGTTGCTTTTCCTAGGGGCAGTACGTTTGGAAATTGTCGATCGTTCGTTTGTTGTACGTGATTTCGCTGTTACAACTCATTTTTAGAATGCACTTCCATTTTCACGAGTGCGCACACGCACACTCACACACCCACGCACACACAGATCAGAAAAATAAGCTCTAGTGATGAACGAAACTCGTGAAAAAATCCGCCGAGTCTCGGAGTAATGTCACGACAAATAGATATATAGATAAATAGAGAGAGAGAAAGAGACAGAAAAAGAAGGGGAGAAAGAGTGAGAGGAAAAAGGACAGGGAAAGAGGGAATCAGAGAGAGAGAGAGAGAGAGAAAGAGATCTGCGATCCTTAATTAGTCAACGTAACCGCGACAGAAAACGACAGAGTGAGAATGAAAGAACGTGTGAAAGTGAGCGAGAAAAGTGTCCTCCATTTCGAGACTCTCGAGTTTGATCCCGAGAATTCGATTTTTCTCTAAAACAGACGAGAGAGAAAGAGAGAGAGAGACAGAGAGAGAAAGAGAATTTCATAAATGTACTCGATTAGGTAGTTGCGCCTAAATTATGCAAACGTGCGAATTAGTCGTCGGAAGTGGACTGAGATTTCCTCAATTTTTCAACATATATATATGTATATGAATATATATATATATATATATATATATATATATATATATATAT